TATAAAGAAGGCCATTGACACATTAGATTATGCTCTTGGGTCAAAATATCTCTGTCTTTTCTGAGAGCCTTGTAATTCCACCAGTGAAGTTAAAGTGCCTGTGATTTCAAATAGAACACCAGTATAATTTTGTTGTCTGACTATACAGAAGACACATTGATTGTTCTAATGATGAATACAGAAATATTTAAGAAGCAATGTGATGTAAAGCAGATGAAACTGAGCCATGAGTGAGGTTGTCTACTTTGTAGGTATACCCAGGACCTGTGTTGTCCAGTTTAGCTTTTAAATCATTATTGTAGAAGTAGCTTAGTGTAGCATGTTTGGAATCAGGCAGATTTGGCACCAAAACTTCATTCTAGTTCTGTGTTTGTTCTCTCTGATCCTTTTTCCAAATTAGTCAAAGATGGTAATGCGCTGTACCTCTTAGGATTAATGATAAAGTTTCAGAGGTAATATATGGAAACAGACATGTGCCTGCCACACCACGGTAATTACAAAATGGTATTTATTGTTATTAAATGAGGTTTATTATTATATATTATCAAAGAGAGAGAATAAAACAAAAAAAAAAAAGCTGTTCTTTTGTTGTCTATGGTGTGAATAAGGCTTATGAATGTTTCTAGAATGCTAACATCCTTCTACAGTGCTCAACCTCTGATGTGGAATTTGTTTTGCTCTCAGCCATATAACAGTTATTTGTGATTAGCTTGTGTAATATATTGTCCTGTGTTTGTACAGCCCAATTCTTAGCCAAGGATTTTCAAGAACATCCCCACAAACTGATTTTTGGAAGTCCTTCCTTTGCTTTCCTCCCTCTTTCTCTGCTCCTCTTCCCAGTAAACCGTAGCCATTTAATCTGCCCCAAACTCTGATCTCTGCCTCCACAGCTCAGTGCAACTATAAGGATCTCATTGGGCCACAGCCCTTACAGCTAGGTCAGGAAATTGCCCTCAGGAAAAATCTGGTAGTGATAGTTCTCACCTAGTGAGATTTCCATATTTCCTGGTTCACAGCCTGACATAATTAGTTGTTTATGGAGAAGGACTAGACCAGTTACTATAAGCAGAAGATTAGAATCTTTTATTTATTTTTTTTAAATGTTTTTATTTATTTCTAGGAGAGAGAGAGAGAGACAGCGTGAGCAGGGGAGGTTCAGAGAGAGAGGGAGTCACAGACTGAAACAGGCTCCAGGCTCTGAGCTGGCAGTCAGCACAGAGCCTGACGCGGGGCTCGAACCCACGAACCGTGAGATCATGACCTAAGCGAAAGTCGGACGCTTAACCGACTAAGCCACCCAGGCGCCCGAGAATCTTTTATTTTTAAATAACAGAAAATATAAATATCTAACAAGAGCTTAAGTAATGAAAAATGAATCTTATTTACTCACACTAATGAAAATGCAAAGTTCATTTGATTTCAAGTGTGGCTTGGTTGAGAAGTTTTCAGTCACCAGATCCTGTAATATATTTATTTTTCTATTTTCCGTGCTCTGCTTTCTTCTCTAGGACAGTTTTAATCTCATGATGTTCTCTTTTATCCTAGTGATGAAACTATTAGAATTTAGACTTCAATATCCTTATACAATACTACCAAGAAAAAGAAAAAATATATATATATATATACTGTTTATTCACTCAGACGAAAAAAAAGAGACTAGTTTTATTCCAGAATATTTATTTATACTGGAATACTTATTCCAGTATATATCGTCTTGTCTTTGACATACTGTTAATGAGATGCCTAAACCCGATCACAATCACTTGACTACAGAGTTGAGATAGAGGAGTTGTTTTAAGAAATTACATCTCCATCACTGGAACTGAGTGTTGAGGTAATATCACCTAAAATGTATGGCTGAGAAAGGGTATGAGCTGGTTTCCTCCAAAGTTAGGTGTTCGTGGGGGGAGAAGGGGAATCAACATCAAAGACATAATGAAAAAATGACCCAGGATGACTGCTACATGCACATACTTATACACAAGATGTCAATATCGTACTTATAAAAACTTGAATTTTGAGGAAAATTATATATATATATGTGTGTCATACATATGTCATTATAAACATATAGACATATATATATATATATATATATATATATATATATATAGGCATATATATGTATCTCTTATTTCCCAATGGAAAAGCTTACTGAACTTTATAAGTTTGATATATTAAAACGTTTAATAGCACTTATAACCAGATATTATGCTAATCTATATTCCTGTATAATCTGAGGTCTAAATTTGGTCCATGTACATATATTAGCCATTCAATTTCATGTTTGTCAGTATCACTCCCAACTCATTAATGTTGAAACGAGCAGACATTGCATCAAAGAATCTGATGGCCAAAGATAATCTTGGTATTGCAACTTCATTTTTTTTGAGGGTGAGTAAAAGCAGATAGTAACTTGATTTTCTGTTTCCTAACTATATAGTAAAGTAGAATATAGGGATGATGGCGATGGTGGTATGGTTGTCTGTGTTACATCTCTTGACTATTATCCACAGCTTTTAGGTTAGTGCTGCTCACCAGGTAGTATGTGTTCTTATATACTAATGGATATATTGAATCACACATAAAAAAATTCAATCCTCTTATTATCCTTTTATCAACTACCAAGTACATCCTTGGCTAGATTTTACCAGGTTCAATGGGTTCTTAGGAGAGGTAAATACTTGAAATCCTGGGAATTGCTGGCAATATAGTTTTCAAAGGCATATTTGCTATTTCCATTGGAATTCATTCTATCTGTCCTAACACATGCTTCTGGATTGCTATATTACTTCACACTCTGGGTCATTCTTTAGTAGGAGTCCTCTAGTGTTGATGATGAGATTTGGGCTGAAGCCCTGACAAGGAGGAAGATGGGCCAAGGCAGGAGGTCCTGTGCCTGTGCAGACCTCGTCTGGGCTGCAGGTAACTGATGACAACATACTGGGGAGAGGGACTACCCAGCAAAGAGGATCCTGAGAAATAAAATAGTGTGAGAGCCTAGACATGGGGGGTTGCTGGGCAGCACAGAGGTTCCTTCTAGCTGGTGACCAGATGTTGATGTGCTCCCCCCTTTCCCCCAGCTTCCAAGGACCTAGCCCATAACTAGTAAGTGTGTGAGTTGACTCTTGCCTCACTGAGACCCACCCACTGCCCCTCTCCATTGTCACTAACTCCTTTCCTTGGCTGAGAATCCAGGGATAGACAAAAGAGCCCTCTTCTCTTTCCTTCCACTAAAGCTTCCTGTGGACAGAAGTGGCTTCGGCAAGGCCCTTGGCAGCCAGGGAGAGTCACAGTGGGGGTCTTGAGTGCTCGGTGGTTGAGGAAGGTCGATGGCCCCAGAGCAGCAGCAATGTGGAATGGGCAGGGTGGCCTGAATCCAGGGTCAGGAATGTGAGACTGAGGCCTGTAATCCCAAGGTCCAACTAATGTGGAGTTGGGCAGTGGGAAAAGGGAACAATAGAGACAAATAGGTCCAAGGCAAGTGTGGGTGGGGGTCTATGGCTCAGAGCTTATTGGGTTTCTCCCACCTATGGGTACTTCATATTGGAAGTCCATTGTTTTCATCACCTCACTCTCTCTTTTTTTTTTTTAAATTCAGAATTTTATTTCTAAGCACTATATGTATATACACATTTATAAGAGCACATGTGATATATTTTATGTACATGGATTAGGTACAGTTAAGTGATAAGCCTTCTGCTTTAAACTTTTCCTGGTGAATTAAATCCCGATCCCCAACAAGAACATCAGAAAGATCCTCCATTCCTTCCAGCTTTAGACTCTTTTTACTGGATGAACACAGAGACAGGAAAGTCCAGAGGTATAGAGAGGTTCTGAGCTGTGAGAGGAGACAGATTCCCCTCCAGGTCCTTTGTGAACGTGCTACGCATTTCCTGTAAATATAGCTGTAGTGTATAGATAGGAATTGATGGAGACAAGATTATAATGTACATCTTCCACATCTGAGTCTGTTGCTCTTTTCTTTTAACAGAACAGTTACGGTATTTGTAAAGGCACTTGGATATGGTGGGATAGAGGCATGTGCTGAAATAAAGCTCAGTAATAAAAAGAATGAATGCTATTATGTTAGTCTGCTCAGGCTGTCATAACAAAAGGCTATTATACCATAAGCCACAGACTGGGTGTCTTATACAACAGGAATTTATTTTCTCACCATTCAGAGGACAAGAAATTTGAGATTAACGTGCTGGCAGACTTTTTTTCTTGTGAGGGCTCTCCCTGGCTTGCAGACAGTGCTTTCTCACTGTGTCTTCACATGGCCTTTACTCCACTAGAGCATGGAGAGAGAGGTCTCTGATGTCTCTTCTTATCAGGACACCAGTCATATGGGATTAGGGTCACACCTTTATGACCTCATCTTACCTTATTTATCTCTCTAATGGGCCTGTCTTCAGATCCAACCATGTGGTGGGAGGAGATAGGTAGAGCTTCAACTGAATTTTAGGAAAACAAAATTCACTCCAGAACAACTATAAGCATAACTGATTTATGTCAAAGTATTTTCGGGGACTTGAGCTGGAACTTCACTACTAGATGTTTTGGTCCAGTGAAGAATTTAGTGAGTACTAATCCATAGCACACCATTTTTGGAAGCTTAACCAAAAATAATACAGAACTTTTAACCTGAGTTCTAAATAGATTTCACAAAGGGTGCGTAGATGGCTCAGTCAGTTAAGCCTCCAACTTAAGCTCAGATCATGATCTCACAGTTCGTGGGCTCTAGCCCTGCATCAGGCTGTATGTTGAGAGCTCAGAGCCTGGAGCCTGTTTCAGATTTTGAGTCTCCCTCTCTCTCTGCACCTTCCCCCTTATACTCTGTCTCTCTCTCAAAAATAGATAAAACATTAAAATAAATAATAATAAATTAATAAATAGATTTCATGAGGTATTTTATTCCTTGCAATGAATGAAAGATGCTTAAAATGAAAAGGGACACTATAGAATTTACAAAAGATTGCTTTTCTTTCATTTTACAGGCCCAACAACTTACTGATCTGGAACGAAAATTAGCTGTGGCTAAAATTGAGCTGGAGAAAGCAGCTCTTGACCGGGTAAGTTTACATCCATGAATCATTACAACTTCAGTTTTAGCAGCAAAGCTAGGGTAAACCCATTGCTTCACTTGATTTATTAACGCACTTCCAGATGCCATGCTTGGAAGATAGTTATAGAATTCATGAGTACTTGATATTCCCTTGGAACCCAATTCTTTCCTTGTTTTTGCTGCTACCGTAAATTGACCCAAGGTTCATCCTTGTGAGTTCATGGCTTCATTTTCCACCTTACTGGTACATTTGTTCTATAATACCATGAATAAACATGCTTGAAAGCACCAACAAAGATGCCATGTATTAACTCTGGATGGCTGAGTTGTGAAACAAATGGAAGTAGTCATTGACACTTTTTATTTGGGAAATTTTAAATCAGAGTTCTGGAGGTAGAATCATGAAACAGGGAGGCAGCTGTCCTAACCAAACCTGTTCATATAAAGATAATGCAAGAGTGGGTGCCTCTCCATCTTTATGACAGCTTTTCTTAAAAATAATTCATATGCTACTTAAAGTCACATTTTTAAAGTTCACAAAGTTGTGCTAACCATCACCACTAATTCCAAAAGATTTTCTTCACCCTTTTTACCTTATCTATTTCATTTTGGTTTTATTAATCTTTTATTGTGTTACAGTTTTGTATGCTCAGAATAAACCACAACTCCCATCTGATGCCTACCTTTGCCTTCAGTGCTCTTCATATGAGAGATACGTGGAGACTAGGCAATTAGCATATGGTGAGGGAAATATAGAGGAAGAAATTGATTATATAATTCAGAATTATGGTTTCTGGCAAAAATTTTAATGCCTCTTTTTATCAATTTTAAATCAAGTTTATAAAACCATAGTAAGTAATGTTTCTTTATTCTATAATTCACTCAGAACAAAAGAGTAGAGTGGTTTTAAAATAATCTTTTTGTCTACTCACACCCATTTATCAAACACCCAATGTAATTTTCTATAATAGAACATACATCTAGCACATATTAATACAAGAAACTCTGAATCTGAGAAATCAATCATAGTATTTCAAACTTAAGGAGACAAGCACCACATTATTTTCAATCAAAAGCATGGAAAGTCTGTGCCAAAGTAACATGGCTATCCAGGAGTAATCTGCATTTTGCCAAGCCTTCAACACATCCCCCTGAGATCAATTCTTAGTTGGATTGGAGTTATTGGCCATCATTCTGTCTAACAGTGGAAAGGTAGATGCTTTCTTGTGGAAGTTAGCATCTGGAGAATTTTCAGTTCATTTATACACAGTGTTTGACATGTAATGAAAGCATTTCTAGACACGTGGAGAGGGAATACAATCTGATCAGCATACAAAAAGAGAACAAGGAAAGCATAACTGAATCTGATCCAGAGACTGAAAATGAGAAAACAAAAATTTTACAAAGATGACGTGTGTGTGTCACAATAGTGGAAAGTAAACAAAACATAAGAAAGATAAAATATTTCACTAGACTCAGAATCTATAAAAAATCAAGTAGATATTCTAGAATTAGAACAATATAATGGGCATAATTAAGACTTTAATGCTATTCAGTAGAAGATCAGATGATTGGACAGAATAGAACTGAAGACAAGTAAAATGTAAGGAAAATTAATAGGAAATACTTATACTAATATAAAGTACAGAGAAGTGGAAAGTAAACTGAGAGAGAATAAGAAATGCATATCAATCTAAATTTTTAAAAAATATTCATAACTGTTGTCCCAGAAGGAATGACAAACAGAAGCAATATTTGTAGGGATAATGACAAAAAATTTTTCCTCACATGGAAAATTATAGATTGGTTCAAGAGACAGATGTCACAGTCCTAAATCAATATGTACACAGTAATATTTCTTTAAATTTCATATGAATTTTTAAAAGTACACTTAATACCCATGCACTTTTACATTATCTGCTGTATTCCACTGCAGTTTATTAGCAAAAGGTACTTAACTTCAGAAAAATTAAAATGTGAATAAAAATAATGAGATGTCATCTCAACACCATCAGATTGGTAAAAATTAAAAAGCCTGATAGTACCAAATTCTGATATAGTAGTGGTAGAAGTGTAATTATTAAATCAGTTTAAATGTATGTATCCTAGAACTTGCACTATCCTATGTGCTTGGAAATATTCATAGGGACATTAAATGCAATGATGTTTGTATTAATAGCAAATTGTAATAATAAATGTTTACTATTAAAATTAGTGTATACATTTTATATATTTTCCATACTTATACTTTCAAATAGTAATCTTAATGAATAAATATAAAGACATTTATATCAATATTGATACATCTATAACATATACTGTTGAGTAAAAATATTCAGAATTATGTGTATAGTATTTAACAGTTGTTAAAATATACAAATTGTATTTTGTTGTGATTGTATTTCATATAAATAGATGAAGTAGAAGATACATATCAAATTCAAGGACCCAATTGCCTTGAGGATAGATGGAGTAAAATAACACTAAGGATGCCTTAAAATACTCCTACTAATAATTGTATACATTCTCTAATAATTGTATAGACCCAGATAAATAGTCTTTAATTCATATACACACATATGTATATTGTACACATTATATACATGCATCATACGGTATATGCATTGTATATATACATTATGTACATATAATGCATGTGTATGTGTATATTACTAATATGTATATGCATGTTAGCATATGTATTTTATAAAAGTATAATAAACATGATGCTTTTAAACATTTAATTCAGGTTGATATTTACCTGATATTTGATCTGTTGTTCTCTATAAGCCCCTATATTTTTCAAAATAAATTACATTAAAAAATAAAGTCTGCTAACTCCTGTGAAGAGCTTTCCATTTTAGAGATCACAGAATAGCAACCATTTTATTTTAAAAAATAAGCAAGTAAGATGATCATAGACCTGCTTTGCAATAGTACACAGTATACGTTTAGCAGTTTTGTAGGGAGAAGAGGTTGCCTCCTAGCCATCACATTAAACAATGGGTGTTTTGATACAGGATAAAGGAGATGGAATATTTCAGGTGGATTCATTTTGGAGTTCTTATCGTATCTCCTTGCTAGGCAGTGGATGTGAAGGATCAGGCTGGAATTCTACTTCCCAAGTACTTGAGTCTCACGTAGACGTTACCACACATATGGCCAAAACTCACTTCATAGCTAACATAGCTCACTTTTCAAACAGGATCTCCAGAAGATATTGTAGTAACAAATTAGTAAGGGCATTGTGTGAATTCTAATGATATTCCTTCTTAAGGTTTAGATCTTTGGGACAAATGAGGCTTTTGAATGAACAACTAGATAATTGTAACAATTCCATTCCTTTGTAATTGTCCTATTTTGTGTTTTTCCAAGTATTTATTATTTAGTAGTTTTAAGGAAGCCTGCATGCCATTTTCTAAGTGAGGTCAAGTATAATTCATCTTACTAAGATTCCAGCTTTATGAGTTTTTTTTAATTTACGAAAAAAGAAATTTACACTAATTTATGTTAGTGTATATTGACTATATCCAATTCATGCTATAAAATATTACTTTTTAAAAAGGGAAAAAAGTGTTTATAGAGTTGGGAGAATCAGAAAATCAGAATACATATAATCCTAAAATTCAACTAAACCATCTTTCTTTAAAAAAAATTTTTTTAATCCTTTCTCTGGAAATCTCTGCCACAATCTTTACAACATGCTTAAGTCCTAGGAAGCCCCTGGAATGCCTGACCCTGAGGCAGTTCCACCTCCTCTGAGTTTAACAATTCTAACCATTGGAATGTTCTCCCTTAGATTAAATCTTTTCCCTGGTTTGACTTCAAATAATCCACTTAGTCAGGTTTGAAATGGCTAAATAGTTTTGACATGCCATTCCTGTGACCACCATGTGGTAGGATTTATGGGAAACTGAAAATATGTATGCTACACGGTCTGGGGTTCCACACGTCTCACATTTCATCAGACACCAAAAATTAGGAAATCATTGTTTGCAGAGCCAGGAGGTCTCAGAAGCACAGAGAATGAATATATTTTAAGTATTTGTGGGTTGTATAAACTGGTGTGGCCACATAATACTTCATGGACAAATTATAATTTGGCCTTAGTCACAGAACTCCAGGTTAACATAGTTTTTGTGTGTGCTTTTTTCCCCCACCTTTGTTTTACCCATTCTTTGCTTTTCTCCACCTCATCTCTATCCATTCCCCACTTAGGGGTGCCTAGCCCACACCATGCCACAGTCTGGATTCAGCAGGAGATGCTGAATGTTGCAGTATTTATATAAAGGTCTCCAGAATCAGTCGCCTGTGTTCCAGTCATAAGTCTTCCACTGAATGACCATGTTCAAATTCCTCAAACTCTTTATGCTTTACTGCAAAATAGAATAATAATAAAACCTACTTTATAAAGGTAGTGAAAAATCTATATGCATCCAACAACAACAACAACAAAGTACTGAGAACTCATGGCACATGGGAAGCCCTCAGTGAGCATAGTAATTATTAATATGAGTGAATGAGATCGTAGACCCTGCCTCTCCATGGTGACAGTTTCTCTCTTTAACCTTCAGGATCTTGTCACTCTTTTTGCTACAGCAAACTATAAGTGCATTTCATATTACTGGAGGTCGGTTTCAACAAATCTCTTGTACCATATGTATGAGGCTCATAAACTGCAGTCATAAAGGCAGGTGGAAATGTTAGCTCACTTCAAAATGGATAAAAAGTACAGTTTAATGAAATTGCTCTTCACCTCTCTCCATCATCTTTACACGAGGCTTTTTTTTTTTACCCTCTTTAGATCCCTAGTTCCCAAGAATATTATATCTGGGCTTCAAATAACCTTAAATACCTCATCAATATTATGAAAATACCTTCACACTCTAACTTGATTCTCATGACATCTTTAATGAAAGAAGTATCAGTTTACTATACCATTATACACAATAATAATCTCCAGATCTAAGAATCATACTTGGTTTTGCAAACAATCAATTATTTATT